AAAGGGAAGTTAGAGTCAAGCCAAGCAAGGTTAAAGAGTAGGTTCAAGCAAGTCTTTAAAGCTTTTCAAGAGTCGTTATTGAACGTCTTAACGTCGTTTCAAGTCTCAAGTTGAGTTAAGATTTTCAAGTCAAGTCAAAAGTAAAGAGTTCAAGTAAAGTAATGAGTAATGAGTCGAGTCCATTTCTCCAAAGTTAATAGGGAACTATGTACTTCCCAAAGAAGTTTCTAAATGTTTTTACATTTAAGTAAGAAAGGAACCATGTTTTCCAAAAGAGCCTTTGGGCTAAGCTTTGAGTAATTATCTCAAACTAAAGAAAGAAGTTATTTTAAAAGCATGAGCCAAAGTATTTTTGGGAGTAGTATTGAGCACCGAATTGGGGACACGAGTTCATATTAACTCAACTCTCCATAAGAACCATGCGCCAACATGGGACTTGACGTATCATTCTTTTAAGATGACGTAAGATTAGGCTAGTGGATCCACTAAGCAAAAGTAAGGTCCTATATCGATGGCAAGGTATAGGATGGTCCTTTGGCAACGTGAGGTAAAACGTTGTATCATCACTAAGGCTCGTAGTGGTGGTTGTCGGTTAAAGAACCTCCCACAAAAGCTGTATTATGTTTATAAAAGAAAAGTTGAGTTGTTATCATTTTATCCTTAACGATCTAAGTTGTTTACATTCTTTTACAAGCTTTATATGTATGGCTTGTGTCCTATTGCTTTACTTTGAGTCCAGTTATTTATATGAGTTGTTCAGAGTCAAGGTAAGTGATCTCTTATTCTCCTTTCAAGCTTAAGTTGTGGTTCGGCTTTTCCAGCTCACATATTCGTACATTCCATGTACTGATGCCAGTTGGCCTGCATCGTCTTATGATGCAGATACAGGTACCCCGGATCAGCATCCTGCACGTCGTTGATCCAGCTGAGCACTCCAGAGTCTGTGGTGAGCCTCCTTGCATTCCGGAGGACTCCAATTATTTTAGTGTACTTAGTTTGTTCTATTAGGGTGTTGCGGGGTCTGTCCCCACATCCATCTCAGTATATTAGAGGCTTCAATAGACAGTCAGACAGTCAGTCAGTCAGTTAGTTTTGAGTCTCTCATCCATGTATATGTATATATATGTAAATATTCTATTTTGAGACTCGAGTTGCCCTTTGGGCCATATTTTTATTAGTTAAGTTGTTTATGTCTTTGCATGACACTGAGTTATTCTGTTGAGTTAGGTTTCCGCTGAGTTAAGAAAGCCAGGCCAAGGGTTTGCCTGGGGCCAACAATGGTCTCCAGGTGCCGATCCCGCCCAGGGTGTAGGCTCGGGGCGTGACAATAAAGATAGTCAATATCTTGTTGGATATTGTGACTCAGATTATGCAGGTGATTTGGACAAACGAAGATCAACTACTGGTTATGTTTTCACTATTGCAAACGCACCAGTTAGTTGGAAGTCTACTTTGCAGTCAACAGTTGCTTTCTCTACCACTGAGGCAGAGTATATGGCAATTACAGAGGCTGCGAAGGAGGCAATTTGGGTTCAAAGATTGCTTAGAGAGCTTGGTATTGGACAAGAAGGAGTCACTATATGTAGTGATAGTCAAAGTGCTATTCAATTAGCAAAGAACCAAGTTTATCATGCAAGGACGAAGCACATTGATGTCCGATATCATTTCATACGAGACATCATAAAAGAAGGTGGAGTCATAGTGCAGAAAATTCATACTACGGATAATCCTGCCGATATGCTGACAAAAGTGGTAACTGCGGTTAAGTTTCAACATTGTTTGAACTTGATCAACATTGTTGAACATTGAAGATTGAGGTTGAAGACACAATCAAAAGTTGTTGAGAGAAAGTTGAAAATGGAGAATCTTGCCAAGGTGGAGATTTGTTAAATTTGACAAGATTCAAAGATGAATTAATGTGAAGATTTTGGGTAGTTTAGGGAAGATAATTCTTCATTGGTACAAAAGTCAAGATAACATCTTTTGTAGGTGAAATTTAGGTGAACTATAAAATGGTTTCACATGGTAAATCTTGACATTTTGACACATTGTGATGTCATGGATGACATCAATAGGAAGAATTCACTCTTATAAATAGGTAGTTCCTAAATTCATTTGTAACACACCTCTCACTTGCCTTCTCATCTTCAAAGGCATTTGATCTTCTTTCTCTCTTGTAGTATTTCACTTGTACCCTTTTGGACTGAAATAAATATTGGTTGGTTGTGTCCGAGGAGTAGGCAAAAGAAAACAAAAGTTTGCCGAACCTCGTTAATTCCTGGTGTTCTTTTTATTGTTGTCTCATCTACTATTTATTAGCTACCTTTAGATATAGCAGTTGTGATTTCATCACTCTCTATATATTCGGCTTCCGCAACAGTTAAGTTAAATATATACATACTATATATATAAATTTGAGGTATGATGTACCACTTTTTTTTTTGGTCAAGTATATCTTAAACTTAACATAGATTTAAGACTACTTATATTGTTCAATAGCTAAAAAAAATAGTCCAAGTGGTTAATCGAACTACATTGAATAAAAAAATATTAATGAAATCATTAAATTACACTAAACGAATTTAGGAGAATTAAAAAGAACATTTATAATTATTTCAATATAAATAAAAAGAAAATTAAATTACAAAGAAATTTAGGAAAATGAATAAAGAGATAAATTTTGTCATTTAGGGGTCTTATCCAAGGTTTAACAAACCTTGAATTAGTTATCCCTCCATTTACTAGGGATAAAATAAGACCATATATGATGTATAAGCAATCCATGGATTCAATAAAATAATGTAACCAAATAATGTATTAGATGGATTAAATTTTAATCCATGGACTATTCTATTTAATACCGCCTACCAAACGAGTCCTTAAGACTAACATTTAGGGAAAATATTTGAAACTTTCCCTTACCCCAAACACACAAATGAATTTGATAATTGCCAAAAAAATGAATATAGTTATTGTTGTAATACTAATTTAAGATGAGCACCTGTTTTCGGTCTAGCAACTTGTCTTTCTATAATCTTTTCGTGCAAATGAAAATCCGTTCTTTCCTTAGCAATTGCATCTAGTTTCTCCATCATCTCTTTTATCCTTTTACCAATCTTGTGACGGAAAGCAATAGTCTTTGGATGATAACGCCCTAATCGAGACTGCTTGAGTCTTGCTCCCTCATATTTACATTCGTCCAATATGTCATCAACTTTATACGCAGCAGCATTGAGTTTCTGTAACCAGCTTTTAATTGCTTTGTCCTTAAGTTGCTTCTCCTGAGCATCTTCAAGCACCGCTTGGATTGTAGAAAACCTGCTCGAAATATTTTCAAACTCATTTTCAAAACCGAGAAGTAATCCAAGTTCCCCTTGGATGAAAGAAGTGATATTTTCTAGCAGAATTTGAAGGAAAGCTTCAGCCATATATAAATGTTGAACTTAAAATTAGATATATGTGTAGATTACTGGAATTGTTGTGAGTTAGCAATGAATCTAAGTAAGATGTTGGAATGAAATATAGAAAGCTGAAACTCAATTATTCCACCATGGACCCATGTCTCTCTGTTGGAATGTATGCGTCCACTATCAGTCAACGGACCAAGTTCCTTGACTCAGCAAGAACAGTAGCTGAAGTAAAAGTGTGGAAAATAAATTCCTCAAAGTAAATCGGGCACAATGGTTTTACGTGGAAACCTCCTTGCTCAAGGGAGTAAAACCATGATCTGTCACATAGGATTTTCAACTGTTTTCACTAATCTTCTCAAGCAAAAATGAAACACAAATTACAACCATCAATGAGATTAAATTCTTAGTCTCAACACTAAGTAATACACCTATTACTTACTGAGCCTAAGCAATAATTCGATTGCCCACTAAACTAACTAACTCTAGTTGATCTAGACTTTAAGAACCCCACAAGGCTAACTCTAGCCACCAACTCCGATCTCCAAGACATGAGCTTAAACAAGTAGCAACTCTGCTGCACCACACATCAACAAACTTTAGTTGACACTCCTAGGCAACTATACCTAAGAGAACATCAAACAATTATGTAATAAGGCATGACCAAAACTTAGATGATTCGACTAACTAACCCTAGTTAATACGACTCAAAACTAAATACTTAGACAAGCAAATGATCTACTATCCTTTATAACTTAGGAGTAGATTTACAGTGTAAGCACATAAGACACAAAGCTCAAAATACAACAAAGACTCTTCTTCACTTTATTAGGTCCCTTTGTTGAGTTGAGCAGTGTTCTTCCTTGAAGATGCCATCTCTTTGTAAGCTTATGAATTTTTAGAAATTCAAATCTTTATTTGCCAAATCTTAAATTAGTATAAAATTAAACAAGTAGACACGTGTGCCCCATGTGACATAATACACGTTTATGTATTATGTGTGGGTGCATTTGAGGGAAACTATTGCACATGGCCATGGGGTCATGTCTTTCATTGTTGCCCACCACAAAGACTTTTCTCTGTCAAAGTTCTCCACATAACCATGAGGCACAGCTTTCATGTATTTTCTTTCCCTTACTGATTACCCACAGCTGCCCACCACCTACATTTTTCTTGTGTGGTAGTTGAATATTCATTTCTTTTAGTACTTACAGCAGGCTAAATTACAAATTCATATGTGAAGTTTGTTATCAATTTAACCCACAAATAAAATTGATTACCACTAAATCGATACTGAATTATTAACTGATATATATCTTATTCTTTTGATTAACGATTTAGTACATTTAACATTCGATAACTAATAAACCGAATCATTAAGTGTGAATATCCAACCGAACCACTCAATAAGCACCCTACCGAAACCACTAGTGTTTTGTTGCATAAAAATAACAAAGCTAAAGTTTGTAACTATAATATACTTTAATTTTTTTTATTGAGTAACATTTAATTGCAATTTAAAACTTAAATATACTCATAGAAGTACACATTTTGAACAAATCTGAATCTGGAAATTAGAGAATACAAGAACTCAAGAAAGGAAGAAGAACAGAGAGAATCAATTTGAGAATTTTTATCTGTATTGAAGTTGTATTGAAGTTAATATATACAAGTTACTTACAAGTATATATATACACTTTTCATCTAACTAACTATGCTGCCAGCTGGCTAACTAACTTTACAATTCATTATCCAACTAACTTTACATATCACTAACCAACTAACTTAGTGATTCTAACTCAGCTAACTTGTACTGCTCCATTGTTTATGTTACACCTGAATTCTCAATACTCCCCCTCAAACTAGGTCCCATGAAGACATTCAGGACTCCTAGTTTGGATAATAGGTACTCATGTTGTGTCCTTCCCAATGCCTTTGTTAGTAGATCTGCTAGTTGATCATGTGAAGATACATATACAGTTTTGATTAACCCTTGCTGAATCTTCTCCCTTATGAAATGACAGTCTATTTCGATGTGTTTAGTTCTTTCATGAAATACTGGATTCGCAGCTATTTGGATAGCAGCCTTGCTATCACAATATATTGATATTGGACCTTCAATCTTGATTCCCAACTCTTTTGCCAGATTATTTACCCAGACTACTTCAGCTGTTAACCCTGCCAGACTTCTATACTCAGCTTCAGCTGAGCTCCTTGAGATTGTTGCCTGCTTTTTAGATTTCCAAGCAATGAGAGAGTTCCCTAACTTCAATATGTATCCTGTCACAGACCTTCTGGTGTTTGGGCATGCAGCCCAATCTGCATCACAATACCCTGTTAACCTCATGTCCTTCTCTGATGACATTAGCAGTCCTAGCCCTGGTTGAGTCTTAATGTATCTCAAAACTCTTAATGTTGCATTCCAATGCTGCTTTGTAGGCTTCTGCATAAATTGGCTCAGTGTTTGCACAGTGTATGCAATATCAGGTCTAGTGTTCGTCAAATAAAGTAGTTTCCCAATCATCCTCTGATATTGTTGTACATCTTCAACTAGTTCAGTTGCTTGATCAGCATCCTCCTCAGCTATAGTTAACTTTATGTTGAATTCCAAAGGAGTCAATGCCACTTTTCCTCCTGTTAATCCAGCTTCAGCTAGTAGTTCTAACGCATACTTTCTCTGATTCATTAGGATTCCCCTGCTTGATCTACTGAATTCAATTCCTAAGAAGAACTTCAGTTCTCCTAAATCCTTAATCCTGAAGGATTGATGGAGAACCTGTTTAGTTTCTTTGATCAACTGTGTGTCATTTCCAGTTATAAGTAAGTCATCCACATAAACTAAAATAGATTACCATCTTGTGTCCTTGTTTCTTTGTGAATAAGGAATAGTCCAAATGACTCTGTTAGTATCCTGATCCCATCAGTGCTTCTGTCAATTTGAAGTTCCATTGTCTGGAGGCTTGTTTGAGTCCATACAAGGACTTGGCAAGCTTGCAGCAGACCTTAGGTGTCTCCCCCTGAACCTTCAACCCCTTGGGTAGCTCCATATAAACATCCTCCAATAAGTCACCTTGCAAGAAGGCATTATAGACATCCATTTGAAACAAGGGCCAATTCTCAGCAGCAGCTAATGCAACAACAGTTCTTACTGTCACCATTTTCACAACTGGTGAAAAGGTCTCTTGATAATCAATTCCAGCAGTTTGATTGTACCCCTTAGCTACAAGTCTTGCTTTATACCTTTCTACAGTACCATCAGACCTGTACTTGATTTTAAAAACCCATTTACACCCAATAACTGACTGATTATGAGGCAAGGGAACCACCTTCCAAGTCCCATTATCCTTCAAAGCCTGCAGCTCTTGAGTCATAGCATGAACCCATTTAGAGTCTGTTATAGCTTCTTCATATGTGGATGGTTCCACATCAGTGGAGATGTTGGCTATATATGCTTGATATGGTGGAGAAATATGTTGATAAGAAACATAATTACCCATAGGGTAAAAAACCTGCTTTCCAACCTTATGACCAGTGTGATAATCTTGGTGCCAAGTAGGTGTTGTTGTAGCTCTAGTTGACCTTCTAGGAGCAGGAGTGGCAACATCTGCAGTTGATGTATGATTTGGATTTATCTCATCAACAACTGATGTCTCTACTGTAGGTTCACTGGTTTCACCATCTGGAATCAAGTCACTACTAAAACTGTTGGTATCAGTATGTATGCCTGGACCAACTAAGAAATGCTCATCCTCATCAAATTGTACTGGTGTAGCAGGTATGGAAGTAATATCAGGAAGGCATTGAGAAGAATTAATCTTGAATGGAAACACATTCTCATGAAATATTACATCTCTGCTCACCAATATCTTCCTGTCATGTAAGTCAAAAAGGATGTAACCTTTTTAGTAGCAGAATATCCTAAGAGAGCACATGCAGCAGCCCTGGGCGAAAATTTGTCAACTTTAACAATCTTAGTTGCATAACAAAGACAACCAAGCACTCTTAGATGATCTAGGGAAGCTTTATGCTTATGAAATACTTCATATGGAGACTTACCCTTAAGCACTGGTGTGGGTAATCTATTGATCAGATACACTGCAGTCAATACACATTCACCCCAAAATCTAATTGGTATACTTCCTTGAAACCTAAGGGCTCGAGCCACCTCTAATATATGCCTATGCTTCCTTTGTACAACTCCATTTTGTTATGGAGTGTGAGGACAACTACTTTGATGTATAGTCCCTGTGCTTTCAAACAGAACTTTGCATTCATTATTGAAAAATTCACTACCATTGTCTGATCTAAAAATCTTCACAGTAGAGGCAAATTGAGTTCTTATCATTGAAATGAAATTCTTTAATACAGTGACAACATCTGACTTCAATCTGATCAAATACAACCATGTCATCCTGCTGTAATCATTAACTAAAGTCAAAAAATATCTAAAGCCATTATGAGTAGCTGTTTTATATGGCCCCCAAACATCTAAATGTATCATATCAAACATTCTACTCCTTCTAGTACAACTCAAAATAAAAGGCAATCTAGTTTGTTTTGCTAAAGGGCAGACTGTGCATTTATTCTGAATGTGTTTATCATGTCCTTCCACTGCTAACGACATTCTCCTTAGAACATTGATTGATGGATGTCCTAGTCTCTTGTGCCATAATAGGTCTATTCCATCATTGTGTACATTGACATTCATAAGCTTTGGACCATTGTTGTTACTAGGATGATTATTATTTGGATCCATCAACCAATATAGGCCTCCACTTTCTTTACCAATCCCCTTCACTTTCCCAGTGGAGAGGTCCTGAAATACACAAAATTCAGGGAAAAATACAATTGAGCATTGCAATTGTTTAGTGAGCTGTGACACAGATAATAGGTCATACTTAAAATTAGGCACTGCTAACACATCTTTCAAGACATCTTTACCATTCCATTTATACTTGCCAATATGAGAAATTATGGTGGTTTGGCCATTAGGTAAATGGACTTGTTTTTCATTGCCTTGTGGAGGAACATGTGTGTCAAATAATGCTTTCAAGTCTGAAATAATATGTTTGCTAGCTCCTGAATCCACTATCCATTGTTTGCGAGTATAGTCATCTTTATTATCTACCAGATAAGCATGTGCAATACCTGTCATGTTAGCTGCTCCTGCCATGTTGGCTGCTGTATCGACAGTCCCTTTTTCTTTGCTGAGCATTCTGAGTATCTGTCCATATTGCTCCTTTGTGAATACTGGTTGTTCCATAGGATGCATATCTTACACATCTTGGCCCCTCACATCTGCATTGAAAGGGTTGAAAACATCATCATAATCAACTGCATTTGCTAACCTTGTTTCCCCATATTTCTTCTTGAATTTGGGATGACCAGGAGGGTATCCAACTACTCTGTAACATGTATCCTTGGTGTGTCCTTTC